AAATCTGATCTTACATAGTCTCGAGCTAAAAATTACTCTCCGATGACGCTTCTCTGTTATAAATTCATCAAGCAATTCAATGACATTTTTCTCTTTCAGATCGATAGAACCTATCCAATACGTGGACTTCAGTTAAAGTCCTGCTCTACAGAGTGAATCTATCCATCTTTGATTCAGGTTTGCCATCAGTCTTTCCATCATCATTATTTGAATATACACATGCTTAATTTGTTGTTTTCATCATTTTCCCTGTCATTTCATTTCTTCAATTATTCTTCAATTTTCTACTGTCTTGTTTTGTTGGTTAGTTTGTTAGTTGAATATTGAATTCTTCCTAATTTTCTATTATCGGCAAAAGAAGGCTTTGGATCTGCTTAAGTTTTATTTGTTTAATGAAATCAGCTAACCCTAATTAGTAATTTCCTTATATTGTCTCTGTCGCAAGGAAGAATGGCAGGTCAAGGAAAGAAGAAAATGACTGGAGCCGAAGACGCAGGAAACAGAGGAGGACCAGGGCGTCCGCCACTGTCTGAAGAAGAAAAGATGAAAAAGAAGGAAGAGAAAAATAAAAAGAGCAGAGAAAGTCGGAAATTAAGAAGGTAAATAAATTAATGTCCTGTTGTTTTCATATGTTTTGTAGGGTAGTGAATAAGAATTAACGTCCAATATGTGTGGGGAAGAATTCAATTGAGTTGAACCTTAATTCTCTCTTATAAAATTTTTTGGAGATACTCTTTTTACTGTGTTATTGTTTTGATTGGGAGAATATATTAATGTCCAGTTCTTTGTATATAAGTCTTCGATGGATAGAGAGTAATTATGGCGAGCATATTAGGAGATGATATTTGAACATACTTATCTGCTTAATTAAGAGAATTGCTTTGAATGTTTTCTCTCTATCAATTACAGTAACTCTTGCAGGAATTTGAATGCATTTTAAGTTAACTGTGTGAAGATTGTGGAAATTGATTAGGGAAATAAATTCTCTATTATTTGATGAATTATTATCGGTCTGTTGGAGAAAGGCATGTTTTGTGATGCTAGTTTTGGCTAAAGGGTGTCATATCCCACCCTTAATTATATAGTATTCTTTATGAGTTGTGACTAACAAAACCTTAGCATATATGCATTCATTTAAAATGGATTTAGGTAAGGATGAAGATTTTAAATTGACCCTGCAAAGACTTGGTTAACACTAGCGGGTAGCTCTTGTATATAGCAAAATTGGTACATTAGTTTAGCTAAAGCATGAGTTTGGAATCACATATAGATAGAAATATATGTATATAATTTGTTCTTAAAAGAGAAAACCATTCTTTGCATGGTAAATGGAAAAGAATGCCTAGAGACTTGGAAATTTTATCAAGTAAGACAAAGGCAGCAAGAGGTAAAAAGAAAGAGCTTGATGGACAGCTTGGACACAAAGAGAGCTACTAAAGTACTAGTAGACAATTCAGGAGTAGCTTTAGTTTGTTGGGAAGGAGGTCATGATTCTCCAAAGGATAGCTTTCTTTGGACTTTGACAGTTAGTGGATTGGGGACTGTTAATTGCTGTAATCCTTGCTCTCCCTGAAGCTTGATGTGGCAGTTGAGAAAGTTTAGCAACGTGACATGTGCATAATAACTTTTTTTCTTCCTTTGTAGCACTGCACGTCACTATAGTGGTTGCCAAGTAATCTCTAGGTATATGTGGCTCTTTGCATTTAATTGTCTTTATTCGTTATGGGCATAGTTTTCGTCTACATTTAGAGCTATGGGTTATAACTTTAATATGACTTTAGGTGCCTTCATATAGGGTTTTATATTTAGAGCTATGGGTTATAACTTTAATATGACTT